CGGCCCCGCCGTGCCTGGCACGGGGAGAGCTGTGAGCACTGAATCCCAGCTGGAAATCCCCCCTGCCCCGGGATGTCCCTGCCCGGACGGGCGCAGAGCCGGGGCGCGGAAGTCAAAGGGTTGCTTTGGAGTGCCTTTTGTCTTAGTCCCTCCTTATTTCCTGCTGTTAACGCAATACGATAAATAGTAGTTGCTTGTTTCTGGGTGACTCGTGTGCATGTTTAAGTCCTACAGAGGAATAGGAGTTGTATTTAGGCAGGCTGTAAGTTCTTTGTGACAGAAGTCAGTGTTTACCTGTAAGTGAGTCTGAGTGGCACAGAAATGCAGATCCCTCTGTTGTTGTGAGTGTGGATTTCAGAGCAGTGTTGGAGAGGAAAGCAGGACTATTTTCAGAGGTTTTCTCTTTTGGCTGTCTGATTTCTCTGTGCTTCAATGCTGGGGGAAAGGGGTAAAAAGGAGGCAAAGAATTGACATGTTTTTAATGAAAGCCCTTGTGTCACCTGATGCAAACTTGCAACGGATAAAGTCTGAATGTCTGTCTTAAGTCTGGGAAAGATGTCCTGGGTTCATGGTCACGTTCTGAAAGCCATTGGAATTATAGAAACATTTAGAAATTGCCGTGAGCTCCATCACATGGGTTTGTGCACCAGGAGATGTGTCTGTTCCTTGCTTTTGGCTTGCTGTAAAATCAAATGGGAAAATTACTTTGAGAGGCACCTCTTTAATGCCTGGAACCTGGAATTAACAGATAATGTTTCTGTTGACACAGTGAGGTGAAATGTGGGGGGGAAAGTAAGCTAACCTTTGTTGAGGTTGATTTTGACTTTTTCAGGTGCAGACAGCTTTCTGTTCTTGACCCCTCAAATGCATCATTCAGTCTGTGCTTGTCATTACAATGGCCTTGCAAAGAGAAATTTTATATCTGTTGTACTTCAGATGCAGAGGTGCTGATGGAGGACTGACTGTGGGTCTGTGTGTTGGATGGGCAGATGGGACCATGGAAACGTGGAACTCCTGTTTATTTGTGTGTTTGCCTGCAAACTCAGAGGGAAAAACCTAATTAATTTTTGCAAGGAGTCTTTAACTTCATGAATAAAATGATCTTAAGCTTTCTGTTGTCATTCCCCCTCTCCCGCTTTATTAAATATTTGGGACAGACTAGAGTCCCTGTTTAGCTGTACAGTAAATTTTAAAAACTGGCTATTTTTAATAGGCTTCTTAAGATGGTTGTACTTGATATTCCAGTACCTACCAGCTGAGGCAGCTTGGCATTAATGAGAGAATTCTGAAAATTATCTATTCTTCTAGGAAAAAGGATGAAACAGTGTTGTTTGACCTCTGGTGCAAGCAGTGTTGTTCTTCAGACGCAAACTACAGTGGGTTTAACCCACTGTTCTGGGATGGAAATGTGTTCATCAGCTACAGTGAAGGAGGGGTGGGTTTGAGTGATGTGATATTACAAAAAGAATTACCACAAGGAACACAACTTGCCTGTTGGGATACTTAAAAGAACGAAAGGCATTGTTGAGCACCAAAGTGGCTCCAGTAAGAGGGCAGAACCACTTGGCAACCCTGCATCCAGATGGGCTTTGATGTGTTGAAGTTTCTGACCTTTAGATAACTCCCAGTCTTCCAATTCCATTTCTTTAAGCAAAATAGAAAGTAATGAGCAATGGAGAGTAAGGTCAGGTTTGCTGTTCTGAGAAAGCACGAGTGTTTGAGTTGACCATGGAGAGTGCCTTGATCAGGTAGAAATTAATTGCTTTTCTGCATGACTGATAAATACTTGCATTATTACAATATAAGACATTTTTCAAATGAAGTTTTTAGATTTTAGTTTTACAGCCGAATTAAAAAGACTTTGGCTTATTAAAAACAGATGTCAGCACTGCCACAGCACTGGTAGGAAGACTATTCTAAACTCAGCTTTAGTTTGTATAAGCAGAATTTTTTTCCCCTGCTTGTAAGCATTTATATTAATTGATGTAAAATTATTTTAGTCATCACTTTTCTAACTTCCTTGAGAAGATTAACCTTCCTCCTTAATTTCTCATTCTTCTAGTTGACAAATGATAGTGCTTTTATATATGAGACTTGAAGTAAAAACATCTGAAACAACTACTCAGTCAGCACATTAAGTAGGATGCTGAAAACCTAAAGTCAGTCTTATCTGATGTTGAACTCAGAGGTTGCCTTGTAAGTTGTTTTCAGTTGTCCTGTGTGGTATTTAGCAAATGATTGCTTTCTGATCCACCTTAATAAGAAACTGCTGGCAAGAATTCTGCAAGTAATGTGAGGAGTGTTTTGTAAAAGTATCTTAAACTTTGATAACAGCATAATAAGTTTATCTCAGTGTAATGAAATACAAGCAGGTAGGAATTGCTTCTGCACTGAAATGCTGTACCTTTGCAATTAATAGGGTTACTTCATGTTTGGTGTTTTTTCAAAAGTGTGGTGAGAAAACTATGAGAGTCTTGGAGGAAAACCTGACTTTAAACTGTGAGGGAACTGTGCTGTGAGTGCAGTGCAGGTGAGCTCAGGAGGAGCATCTTACAGCCACCAGCAAGGTGATGGGGTTGGTTGGGGGGGCATTTGGGTATTTTTCCTGTCAATTTTCTTAATTTCTCCATCTGTCCCCCAAGAGTGGAGTCAGCAAGTCAGGTGTTCTTTTGGAGTTCTAGTCAGCTGGGTGTTTGCATCAGGTGGTTCGTTCCATCCTGGTGCAGCCACTGTCTGCTGGCTGTGTAGGGCCCCGTTGGCACTCCCTGTGCTCCATCCCCGTGTCCCCACACTGCAGAGGGAGCTGCCCGGATTCCCTGGCAGTGCTGAGCACAGCGGGGTGTCCCCTCCCAGCACACATTTCCAGTCCCTGCTGCAGTGGCAGGGCAGCACCGGCACACCCTCGCCTGCTGTGCTGGGTGTCATCACCTCGGGGACAGGCAGGACTTGTTTCAGGAGCACAGGCCCATCATTCAAGCAGCAAGAAACTGCTCCAAACAGGGTCTTAGTCAGAAAGGACAAACAGAAAGAGGGACAGTTGCCAGGGGCAACTTCTTGAAGGTTGTGTGCGGCAACTCTGAGGTTCAGGTGCTGAATGATTCCAACAAGGAGTCTGACCCTTCAGAGGAACTAGACTGTGATGCCTGTGCAGCTTATGCTAAGGAAAAAAAACCTCAGGAGCAGTTAATTGAGGGTGATATAAGGAAAGAGTTTAATTTGTGCCAAGGCTGTGCCTGAGATGTTACATTTTATAACACTGCTTGACCAATCCAAGTTTTGTCCATCCCATTGCCTTTGCTCTGGTCCACCCCCTGGGAACTGGGTCTGGGGGCTTTTGGGACCACCTCTTCATCATTCTCATCATCCTCAGAGCACAAAGGGTACCCCTTCACCCAGTTCTTGACTGTTCTGTTGTTCAGGCCAAGATATGAGTGTTCTCTGAACAGTATAGGCCTTGCCTTGACAAAAGACTAAACATTTCTACTGAATTCAGGGGTAGATTTGATATGGGGAGCATGGAATGGGGTAAGAGGGTTGAGGAATGTGTAAACTACTTGTGCTACAGGGCAGGGAACAAGGGCTGCTGCTTCTACTTCTTACAAAACTTATAAAGCTTACAAAATTAGAAAAATAAGAAACTAAAAAGGTCTTAAGGCATCAATTGCTGCCTTCTAGAAATTTAGTTTCAGTTTTCTGAGTGAGGGAAGCAGGGAGATGTCAGTAACAGGTTTAAACTGAGGTCATTAGTGTTTATTTTGTCTGTAGTACTGCAGTTTTATAAAAAGATCAGTCTTTTAATTTTTCTTTATTAATCAACTTGTGTGGTGTAGCTCTAAGCATTGCAGGACATTTTAAGATCAGTTTGTGGTTGGAATCAGGTCAGGAGAAGAGACATTTGGATTTGTTGGGAAAGGAAAGATGATCCTACAAAACAATAAGTGTAATTTGTTTCTTTTTAGCTATGTAAAAAACCCACATCTCTGAGTTAATTGGCAGTGTTGTTGCATTTGAACTGGTGTTCTATGTTGATTGCTCCTTTGCATTTAAAAGTACCATTGTTTCTTGTTTTGATCAGTGTTTCATCATTGATAAGTTTACCTGTTTCTGCCAATATTTAGAGCCAACACAGCCAAGAACTTCAGCTGGTTTGGACTTGTATGTCAGCAGAATGGTTTATCATGTTCCATTACTGGGGATTCCTTGTTGCTGGTGATGGGTGAGCCTGAAAAAACACAGCTTCCCTTGCACATCCCAGGGTGAGTTCTCTGAAAGCAGCCTCTTAAACAGTTATATTTTAAGTGTTTGGGTTGATTGGTTTTTGTTTTAATTTTTAAATGGGTTGTATTTTAGATCTGACCGTGTGGATTTTTTTTCCTCAAAATATACACTTATTATCTCCTATAGAATCTAGAGACATGTCAGGTTTCTTACATTTTGGAGTGAACTGCTGTAATCATAAATGATAAATCAGGTTGCTCAAGGGCTGGATTTTAACTGAGAGGTTGATCCTGCTTGATTACAGGAAATCCCTTCCAATCTCCATTACTGTATGATAAACCATTCCATAAGCAGTTTTGTATGGGAAGAAAAGTAAAATGGAAATGATAAACTTTTCCCTGTGCTGTTTTGGTTTCTATTCTGCATAATACCTCAACCTGGGGATAAGTTAAAGGATGTGTTGCCAGTATGGGAATTACAGTAGTATTGAAGTAGCATCTTCTGTTATGTTCCTGCAGCTCCTCTTTAGCCCGTTGTCCTGAAGACAAGAGGTTCTGGCTGACCAGGAGTCTCTGTTAGCAGTTCAAGTTGGCTGGAGAATGGAAGGTGTTGAGTTTAAGGAAGAATGGCAAGATGAAGATTTTCCAAGGTTTTGAATTTTGTTTTAAAGTCATTCAGATCAAACACACAACATCCACAATAAGCCACCTCTCTGTCTTCCTGGTGAACTAATACTCAGTAATGATCTTGAATGTAGTATTATTATATATTAATAGTATATATTTAATAGATATTAATATAGTAGTCCTGAGAAGGTTTTGTGGTGTGTTTCTTTGTGGTCTGGAAGGGACTTGCTTCATGTTCTGTGGAAGTGAAGTAATGCAGGATTGCCACTGCTGAGGCTTCCAGTGTTGCTGAAGTGAACATTTGTAAGCTTGGCTTTGTTTATTTTCTGTGATGATATTTTGCAGCTACATTGTTTGCATATTATTACTGGTGTCTCAAGGCCCAAATATTTCACTGAGCAACATTCCTGAGCAAAGTCTGTACCAGTTAAGGCTGCTTCTGATGCTTGGGCCCACAAAGGACCTGCATCAGCTGACTCTGGAAGCATTTCTGTGATCATGTGACTAAACTACTCCTGTCATATACTGATGTCACAGTTTGTCAAGCAGGGATGTGACAGGTTTTCTTAAGGATGACACACTGGTAGTAATCAGTGTTCTGTCACATCACCAGATGGTCCCTTGAGTGCTGTAAAGGAATTTTCTGCTACTTTGGTGCTTTGTTTACTGAAAACTTGAACTTAGGCTAGAAGTAAATTTAGTTCAGTACTATTCCAGAGTGGTTTTTTTAGCAGTGTGTAAGTCTAAATATTTGGCATTAAAAAAAATGTAAAGAAGTTTTGTAACAGTAATTTCTACTTTGTGTCCCAGGCCCCTGCCAGAGGATGATCCTGTTGAATCTGAAACATTGGCTGCAGCTGGAACAGAAAGCCAGGCTGGTAAGAACACTCCACTCCAGTCAAGCTGCTTCCTGCTTAGCTGCTGTTTTAAAGCTCCATTTTGCTTCAGGGGGTTTTTTGGTGTGTGGGGTTTCTTGGGTTGGTTTCTTTGGGTTGGGCTTTTTGTTCTCTTTTGAGTCAGGCTTGAGGAAACAGCATTGTAAATGGCACTTCTGTATGTGAAGGGTATTATAAATACCTGATCTAGAAAGAAAAGGGTTTTGGAACAAAAATACGAGAGTCTTTGTGCTCTCTGTGAGCAGAGCTATCCAGGTAGTGCTGGACAACAAGGAATTATTGCACTCACTTCCTGATCTGTCTTAAAAATCTCTGTTCATTATTTGACTTCTGTTCAGCAATTGGGGCCTACCTTGGTTTTGCTCCCAATTTCAGACTTTTGTGGCTGTTTAGGAGCATTGCCTGTTTCAATGGTCAGAGGGGAAATAATATAAATGGCTTTTTTTTACATTTTAAATTTTTTTGGATTTTGTCTGTGTGCTGTACTTGTGGCATTTCTAGTGCAGGATCAGTAATTTGATGTTATTCCCTGCTTTCAAGTGCTGTCTAAATCACATCAGCATTTGCCTTGTGCCTGAAAGCATTCTGTGTTTTCACAAACAGGTTCTTTGACTTTCTGTCCTCACTGTTGTCTGTCAGGTTTTTTTTTCAACTTGTATGTTATTTTTTATTTCATCAGAGGTGGTTATGATGTTACTGATGCCTAACAAAAACAAGGGCAGGGACGTGAATCTATTGTATTATTTGCAGGATTTATTTGGTATAATATCTGCAACAACTGGGTAAACTTACAATCTTAAAACTTGAGATCTTTTACCTTCTGTTCTTTTCATCCCATATTAAAATCTTAATCCACAGATACATTGTTTGAATTCTTGGCATTAGCATACAATCTCTTATGAAAGAGGATGGTGCTGTTGTGTGTTATTAATTTGCTTGTCTGAACTCATTTAGCTTTGGGAATAAACAATTTGCTTTTATTAGATGCAGAGGTTAATGGAACCAAAGTGAGGAAGAAACTAGTGGCTCCAGATATCAGCTTAAATTTGGATTCCAGTGAGCAACCTGCTTTGTCTGATGACTTGGATGAGAGTGGAGAGATTGATTTGGATGATTTAGATACTCCTTCAGAAAACAGTAATGAATTTGAATGGGAAGGTAAGTATTTTGGTCCTTTGCTCAGATCCTCTAAAATATTTCTATTTTCTTATGTGCAGGTCAGCAGTTTCTCAAGTAAGAAATAACTATGACTTGAAGTTACAAGAGGAAAAACATAAAGGGAGTGATTAGATTAGAAATTGGAAATGGGTGCAATGAATTTTTAAAGAGCAAAAGGCCTCATCTGATTAGTAAACAAGCCACATAATAGTAGCTGTAACTCCAAGTAAACTTAGCTGAATACCATCTATATATACATCTGTCTATCATCTATATATACATCTATGAGACTTGAAGTTATGGAAAATCCTCTCTGTTGCAGTATGTTTTTAAAAGCCACCCTGTCAAAAAAAATCTCAAAGGTGTTTTCTATGTGTTAGAGGTGAGTTTAAATGGAGGAAACATCCAAAGGGATAGAGATTGGCTGCCCAGGAACTGATGAACTGCAATTTAAGGAGGACTGAGTGGTATTTTTGAAAACACTGAGTAACACCTGTCTCATACCTTCCTGTGGTAAGAATGGCAAAAGCCTTAGGGTTTGCTTGCTAGTAGAAGAGCCTCAGTTTTGTGTCAAGGAATTCTGAAATTACTTGATAGGAAGTTAATGTAGCTATAGCCACAGTAGTAATGATCTTAATTTTAAGAAATTAATAGATGCTTTATCCTACTCTTATAGGCAAAACTTGGAGATTCTAACAAATTTTATTTGAGGCAAACATTTTGTGTAGGAATTGAAGCCTAAAGTTTAAACTTAAAGTTTAATTATGTTTTAAGGCCCTTTTATGTAAACCAAGAACTGTTGTGTTGGTCAGTGTGTTGAAGTCTCTAACATCTGTAAACTTCTTGGCTTAAAAATGTCTCTAAGTAAACATGTAAACTCAATTATTATTTTTTTTATTCTGAAAATAAAATAATGTTAATTCCTGACTGAACAGGAAGTTCTCTTCTCACTGTTATGTTTGAAACGATACCTGTGGAGAAAGAAACACTCTTTAGGATAAGAGGGTTGTTTTGTTTTTTGGAATAGCTAAAGACATGTTGCAGGTGAAGTTTTCTTAACAGAGACTGGGTGTTTACCTGGATAAAAGGATTTTCTTTGTTTTAAGAAGAATTGGTATTTAGGGGTAGTTTTGCTGTGATGTGAAGGAACTGTTCCAGATGCTTGTGTCTTGTTTTTAAAAGTGGCTGAAAAGGGTTTCTGTCTTTTCTTCCTTTAATGCTGCTGCCTTCATTTTCCTGGAAGGATAGTTTCAATTAACAGCTTTGTCTTGGGAACAGACAACTAACTTGCAGTAGGTTTTTCTCGCTTTGGGTAAGGTCTGTGCAACAAAGTCAAGAATCATCATTGAATTGGTGCAAATTGTCTTACAGATTGCTGTCACATAAATTTTGTATATATTGATTATACACATGTGAATTAGATTTAATTTCTAATAGATTTGCCTGCATGTCTGCTTGCAAGGTACCATCAATGTCTTTAATCATGCTTGTATGTAAATCTGTGATCAAGCAACCTCTGTAATTCTCATTGGAATTAACCACTTTGTCTGTTTTGGTGCCATTCACTGAGGTCTGTGTTCTGAAAGCCTACAATTAATTAGGCTTCCTACACAAATGGAAATTTTTCACATACTTTTAACACAGAAAATTACAGCCAACGTGAGTGTGTTGATAAAATATCCCTGACACCAGCTGGTCTGTGTGACTGGCTGAAGAACACCAAAATAGATCAGACAGCAAAGTGGTTAACCAGTGCTGTACCTGATTGGCACTGTAATGGTGTTCATAATGGATCTTGAACGTGTTTTACCTTTGGCAGATGATCTTCCCAAACCAAAAACTACTGATGTGATTAGGAAGGGCTCCCTCACTGAGTACACTGAGGCAGAGGAGAAGGACGATGGGCGGCGCTGGCGGATGTTCCGGATCGGAGAGCAGGACCACAGGGTGGACATGAAGGCAATTGAACCCTATAAAAAAGTTATCAGTCATGGGGGTAAGGACTGGCCATGTGGGGAGGGGAACTGCTGAGCAACTGCTTCTGTAGGCTGAGCTGGGGTGGCACAGGGAGGGCTTTGGGCATAATGGCTTGTGATGGTTCTTTTTTTGCAGTGTTAAGACACTGCTGATTTAATAATTTTTTTCTCTATTAAACTAAAGTTCCAAAATGTTCACATGCACTAAAGTGCACATATGTAATGAGATGTATTCAATCTGTTCTACAGTGTCACTGCTACCAGTACATTTTTTTTGGTTTTAAGTGTGTTGAAAGCACTAACTGTAGATCTACTAAGGCCAAAATCAATTCATGACTTCCCAACAGTCTGTGAAGTTTAGGCTGGAAGACAAGTTGACTTAACTTAAAATAAGATGTTATTAAATATGCTGAGATGTTGATTGTAGGTACAGCATTTGACTGACTTCAGCCATTGCTTTAGAAGTAGACAAAAAAGAAATCTTGAGGTCTTCTGTGACTGTAAGAATCTGTCCATGTAGATGTTTGTAAATCTCTTTAAGGTAAATAATGAAAAAGCTTACTGAATGTGCTTGACTTTGTGTAAATGTAGTCAATAGCAGTCATCTTTGTCACTACTGTTGCTCTTTTCTTTGGTTTTAGGTTATTATGGTGATGGGTTAAATGCCATTGTTGTGTTTGCTGTTTGCTTTATGCCTGAAAGCAGCCAGCCTAACTACAGATACCTGATGGACAATCTATTTAAGTGAGTCATCATCTACCTCTGAATACTGTCTTAATTCCACATTGTGAAACTTAGCATTCTAATATAAGGACAGTTACTTCTCTCTCTTTTTTAATAAAGCTTTTTATATTTCAGATGAGGGAAAAGTAGCAAATAGAAAAGCAACTACATCTGCTTCCTGGGGAAGGAAAGAAATGGATTAGATGTTGTTCAACAGTGTTGCCAACTCTGTTTTTTCATTATTTTTAATATATTTGAGCATAGGAATTATTAGGAATTACTTTCAAGTGAAGGCTGTGGACAGTAAAGTTTTCTGTCTCTGCAGGTATGTAATTGGCACTTTAGAGCTGTTGGTAGCTGAGAACTATATGATAGTTTACCTGAATGGTGCAACCACACGGAGGAAAATGCCCAGTCTAGGCTGGCTCAGGAAGTGTTACCAGCAGATTGACAGAAGGTAAGAAGCTCTGCAGTGTTTTCTTACAATATTTACATGCTCAGTGATAGACATATTTGGGATGAAGTGCTGTTCAATGTGGTGTCTGGTCCCTTTGGTTAAGATTTGATTAAGGGAATTGCTTGGCCTGTTGAAAACCCCTTCCTAAGCTGGACGCTGTGGGATAATGCTCCAGACATGCCTGGGGGGTGCTGTGTGGTGTTTGGATTTTTTTTGTGTGTGTGTTTTTTGTTTGTTTCATTGTTGTTGTTACTTGAAGGGTTGAGGGGTTTTTTTAGGTGAAAACAGTAGTCTTAGAATATTAAATATTGTTATCTTGTAGAATATCGTTAAAACTTAATGTATTAATAATGTGTGAGCCACTTCATCATTAGTTGTGTAAAAAGATTCAAAGAAACTTCTTCTTGGAGTGTTTTTTCCTTGATATTCTTCTTGAATTGATACTGTGTCTTAAATTTTTATAGTATTTTTTCTTCTGCCAGATGTTGGTTTCTAATAATGGAATGTCAGAATACTAGGTTTATGTGACAGGTGGGCTTGCAAAAACACACTTGTTTTAAATTCAAAAACCCCTTGTCAAGCTGCTTTTTTCTTCTAGTAATTACTTTCATTGTTTAAATTCTTCAGGTTAAGGAAAAATCTGAAATCATTGATTATAGTTCATCCTTCTTGGTTCATCAGAACACTCCTGGCCATCACAAAACCTTTTATTAGGTAATGCTCTGGAAGCTTTTTCTTTTTTTAAGTAATCCTGACAGCTGTTTACTTTGAACTTGAATAACTGTTTTAATACTGGCCTAGTTGAAAATGTTTAAGTTGTAACTGTACCCTGCATTTGTTCTTCCACAGCTCAAAATTCAGCCAAAAAATTAGGTATGTCTTTACCCTGGCAGAACTAGCTGAGCTCATCCCCATGGAGTACGTTGGCATCCCAGAGTGCATAAAACAGTACGTTTTATTATTCTCCCTGTTCTCACTGTCCATGTGCTGGAGCTGGGGTGTGTTGTAAGCAGGGTTTGGTTTGACTGTAACACTTGGGAACTTCAGCTCAGATCCCTGCTGTCCGTAGGAGGGTCCATGTCTGACCTCACCTGGGGCACCATGTCCCTGTAGAGTGACTTCCACGGGTGGTGTTTGTGTGATTGCTGAGTTCTGATGTGCAAATTAAGTCTTCTAGAGACAAGGCAGTTGTTCTGCACCTCATATATATGCTGACTTGTGAGTGAGAAATTCTGGGCATGTTGGTACTGAAGTTATTTATAATACCTTCAGTGTTCTTCAGAGGAACAAGTCAAGTGCTGAAATATCACTTGGGTTGGGCTTTCATTTCAAAGAAGAGCAGTGTTGGGAAAGTGCTGAATCCCTACCCATTACAGTTCTAAACAACTTTGATAAATAAGTGAGGGCAGCATCAATGTCATTTTTTTCCCTTCCCTCCAGATATAAATATCCATTTTAACATCAGCGCAATTCTTCTCTCAAAAATGATGACGATGCTTTTGTCAATAGCAGTTGTGGGTGCAGTAATAGAGTAGAAACCATAAACTTGGGTCTTAAACCAGATGATCAACTGCTCAGCCTGTCAGAGGGGATAACATCCAACTGCTCAGCCTGGGAGAGGGGATAACATCCAAAGCCTGTGGCACATTCTGCACCATCAGAGGCGATCACAAACCGGGAGGACATGGCCTAGTGTGTGCAGGCAGAGGGGCACATCCATGTTGGACAAATCCTTGTGCTCCCACAAATAGCTGGGCATTGAAAGAAACATTCAGCTGGATCAGTTCCACAGTTGAACTCTAAAACAAAGAGAACTGTTTTCCTTGGGTGGGGATGAAAGAATGCTCTCTCTAGAATTTTTTTTACTGGGTGTTTTTAAGGATGTGTTATGAATATTCAGATTGTCATTCCAACTCTTGAAAGAATCCTTTCTGTGTTGATAAACCTTTAACTGTTCTGCAGAAGCTGAACTTAGTTAAGTTAGAGAGTTAATTGTCAGATTTGGAGGATTATATCTGGCTCCAAACTATTATGAATACAGACTTTAAATTTTAGTGGTGGATGTTGATACCGTGCAAGAGGTCTCATTGAACTCATTTGTTACGTCATAATAATTAAATGTTTTTTGTTTAATGCTTATAAATGATGGAACTACTATGTATTTTTTCTTAATTATATCAGTTTCAACACTTGATAAGTTTCTACAAACTGTACTGACACTAATACTAGTTTGCAGCTTCTGTTGATTTTGGCCTTCATATGTTATATTTACTGAAATGAAACTTTTCCTCACCAAGGTATGAAGAAGAAAAGTTTAGAAAGAAACAGAAAAGGTATATTCATATTTTGATTAGGGTTGCATCTAGATAAGACAATTTGCACTGCAACTAACTCCCAGTTGATTGGCTTGCATAAAGGAATAAGCATTTGTAAATATAAACATGCACTCGTGCCCAAGTTTTTATGCATGAAAGGAACCCTCCTGTACTTGCAGGCAGTAAATCATCTACAGAAGCTCACCCTGGGGGTTCAGACAGAGATTTGGGAATAGTTTCTATTACGTTATTATGTGAGATGCTCACTTCTAAGGGGATAAATGTGTTCTCAACTGAGTCTTCAAGAGGCAAAAGTAGTGTTTCTGTATGAATCTACTAAATCCAATTTCCCTGTTTCTAAGGAGAATTGATACCTGAAGATGAGCTGTATTTAGGTGCTAAGCTGTCTGTGCATTAGCAGAGATGCAACTCTGTAAGAAGTTCTAATATTGAATCTTGTATTCTTGGTATTCACTACCTTTTTAGTTATTAACTTGCACAGTTGCAATCTAAATAAGTATTTTAGTGCTGTTTGTATTTGCAGTGCCTATGTTCCTTGCTAATAAACACTGGATTTCCATTTTGTTAATTTTCAGTCTCCTGCTAACTATTCAAGCTATACCAGCAGCTGATGACATTTTTTTTATGGATATGTTATTTTTTTCACCCACTAACAATCGTATTGAAAGATTTTGCTACTAACTTTGGTTTTCTTTTTTAATTACTTTTTCTGTGTTTGCATAACTATTAAGGGAAGCTTATTGTCTAAATTGGGTAGAGGAATACTGAACAATGAAAGTAAATGGAATTTAAATTCTTTCTGAAAGCTAGCATGTAAACCTAGTGATGTGTTGGACATTCTTTAGGAAGTGATAACTTTGCAGTGTGTGACCTGAAGTACCAAGCCTGTCAAATTTAAGAAACCCTTTCAGTAAATGTCAAACAATAGTTCTGCTTGACTTTTATTTCCCCAGTGTGCATAATTTGGCCCAATTCTGTTGCAAGGCCCAATGTATTCAGGATGCAATCCAGAGACATTCAAACAGTAATGCAGAAACTTTTAAAAATCTCAGTACAACAAGCACTTTTTAGTGTCCCCTGCACTACCATCACTTTTGTACAAAGGAGGGTGTTCCTCAGTGAAAAACAGATGTAGAGAAGAGATGACAGAATTTGATCCCAAGTCTTCACCCAGGTTGAAAGAGGCTGTAGCATTATTTACTGTATAACAGAGGCAAGGGAGCTTTTCTGAGGCACTGCAGGGAGGTCAGGGCTGAGCTGCAGCCTCAGAGCACCCTTTGCACTGTGTTCCTGACTGGCTTTCCAGCTGGGCTTGTTGCTTCCAGACCTCAGTGCTCCAGACCTACTGGATCCCAATGTACTTGGTTCAGTCCTTACAGCTGCAAGAAAGAGGAGGGGAAAAAAATAAGCAAGCAAACAGAAAACTTGCCTCCCCTTTTTATGGGTTTGTGGCCTAAAGGAGCTGCCAGTGTTTCTGTCATTTTGGAGAACTGGCTGGTAATAGTTTGAGAGACAGGTTAGACAAGTTGTTAGAGGGCAAACTCTTTGTCTCTCACTTTGGAACTGCCGTTGGTTTTAAAATTAATTTACCTCCATGCACATCTTACTTTATAGAAGATTGAATTAAGACTGTAGCTTGTTCTTACTGTAAAGAGGAAAAGAATGTTTTGTGCAGGGCTGTCAGTCATCCACTGGTTCCTGCAGAGTAGCACTTTGTTTGCTAGTCGCAAGACAGATGTTAAAAAGTAAAACACCAAGTAAAAACCACCTTTATCAGCATGGTGGTGAATTTTTCCTGGGTAATTCCAAATGTCTTAAACTTAGTAGAAAAAATATTGCAGTTAAGGAGCCTCTTCGCTTTTGTTGATTCAACTAATCCTGTTACCTTCTTGGCTTAATTACTATAACTCTGAAGGTAATTCAGTGCTTATTCTGCAGCATATGAATTCCCCAAAGTGGTAGTGCTTGCCAGTGTTATTGTATTACCTGTAAGCTTGTATTCCTGTTTGCATTTTTTAATGAAAGCACAGGACCTGCTTTTTTCTTCTGTAGTCAAACTTCACTTGCACTTTTTAAATGTTTTCTCTCAAGTGCTATAGTATTTAAATGGTTTCCTAACAGTTCTTTTTAATTAATTAATTAATTTCTACGGGGAGGTAAGAAAATAGATATTTTAAAAAACCCCAAGAATGTTGTGACTGCATTAAATAAAAACCTTAATTTAATATTTAATTACTAAAACTTTTCCCATGTGAAAGCTTTGTGTTTTCCTTTTAAGACTAATAGTTTTTTCTTAATATATGAGCTACCAAACTATGTTAACAAAGTCTTAATTTTAGTGTTTCTTTGCTGAGCAGAGTTGACCAAGAGCTGAATGGAAAACAAGAGCAGAAAAGTGAGCAGTAAGTCTGGAGCACAAACAAGACTGAAGATATGCAGATGGGATGATGCTGTTTCCATTTCCAATGTGTTCTCTGTGTGTATGTATCATATAACCTGTTGCAAAAGGTGCTTTGGACTAGCACAAGAACTGCTTCCTGCTGTATTGGTTTGTCTTGACTTTAATAGCTGTTTATGTACTCGTTTTATACTGCTAAATGTCAAAGAACCCTATGTTTTTCAGAGGATGTTCTTGCCATTGTTTATCTAAATGATGCATGTTCTTCAGTAAAATATTTATATACCTAAATGTTAAAGGAAAGAGATAATATATATTTTTATGACTGAGCAATATATTGTGTGTGCCTGCTGAAGGAGTTCATTTGCAGGTAGACAAGGCCGTAAGTTACTTGTTTTTATTGTATCAATCTGTTTTGCTGTAAATGGTCAAGTGCATTTCTTCATTGTTGCAGAAACTTGTTTGGTTATTAACAATCACATGAAGTCTTTCACGAGTGCAGAGACCCTTCTTTTTGCTCACACACCCAATACAGGCTCACTCCTTACCTTGAGAGCCCTTCAGTCCCCTGTCCAGGGTCCAGAACTGCAGTTCTGGGAACATCAGGCTCTTGGCCAAAGGGTCCAAGCCTGAGCCACAACAGAAGCTGAACTGTTTGAATGACTAGTAAAGTATCAGACCTTTCTCAGCTGAAGTTGTGAATTTGTGATCTGCTTCAGGACATCCAGACTGTCTCAGCTCCTGCTATGAAGCGAGTTCATTGCAGTTCTTCCTGGATGAACCTTGGTTGTTCGCAGTAGGAACTCTGGTCATACTCAGTAGAACTTGGGAGTTACACAGTTATTCCAGCCATAATACCATTTTTTTTGGCAGAAGCATGGGGAGTCTTATGCTACCTGTGTCATCCCTGGAGATGAAACATCTGTTTCTAAAGCTCTTAAGTTTGGCACGTGACACAGCAGTACTTTACTTTTACAAAAGTGATTTAAAGGTTGGGGTTTTTTCTGCTCTCCACAACGGTGGTAAACCTGTGTCTGTAAGAGGTATACGTTTATCGAGGCAATCATAATGCAGCGGGGAATATGTTGGAGAAGTTTGTAACATCTTCTGATAAACATTGCAATTTCCCTGTAAGGACAGGTGCATGCAAATAAATTCATTCAGGAGTTGAGCAATATAATGTTCTAGCAAATATATTAAATCTTTGCTTTTGATGTTTATTGTGCTCACAATTTTGTCTTTGCCAAAAAATATCACTTCTCAATTATATTTGAAGTTAGTGTTACTCAGTTACGTTATTAGAAAAAAACCTGGTTGTGTTCAACCACATTACTGCCTGATACGGCTAAACAGCAGCTGAGAGAGAGTTCTGGGGTCAAGATTTTGCAATTAACAATCTGCTGTCTCTAGTGATACCTGTACAGACTCTGGGAGCACACTGATGTCAGGGGAGGGCAGCTTGCCCGTGTCTCTGGAAGATTAAGTCTGCAGTTTGAAGATGTTCCTCTCGAGATCAAAGTTCTTTTGTTACAGGAGTTTCAAAGAGATTATTAACAGGGTGTACTTGTATAAGAGGCCATACCAATGTCAAGATGCCTTGCATACATTCCATCAGGTTTAGCTCTTGCTCTGAGGGCAGAGCACAAATGCTAACAGTTTCTTTTGGGCTGCCTTATCTCCTGCCTCAGTTTCCATGTTGACCCAGATTAATGTCAAGTTTAGTCAGTAAACTGGGCACTTGCAGCCTTCTGATCCTTCGACAGTGTGGTGTGTATGTACATGCAAACCTGATTTTTACTGGGTTTCCATGCATCCTAAGCTAAACAGTAAGCATTCTGATGATCTCATTTCCATTTTTTCCTAACTGAAGAAAGGTTTATTCTCAGTGGAGGGGTTGGTAGTTCTCTCTGCCCTGTTCCTCTCTCTGTGTATAGTGCAGTGTGGAGAAGCCAGTGCTCTCTATGTGCCATATTTACCAAATGATGGGATTGTTGTTGTGTTTCCTGCTGGCCAAGTGAGTCCACAGTTTCATGCTGCAGGAGTTTGATTTCTTTTGGAGACGTGTATGTGTTTCCCAAATGGTTTATTTCTCCAGTATAAGTTGTTGTGAGCACAAAGCTCTTCTGTCCCTAAAGATACGCCGCCTGAGAAAGAGGTGTACTAAAGAATTATCCCCCTCTGACTTCTTGCAGCTCATCATTGAATGGTGAGGTGGATGTTTACAAAAAACAAAGTGGTCCCAAAGTTATGAGTAATGTTTTGTCAAACTTATCTTTTTCTGAAATCTATAATATAATGTAATATATTTTAATAATTAAAAACATGAGAAGTTGGAATGTCGTACTTTAATAAAAACAATTTCAAAACTTGAATAAACTTTGTGATAAGATACAGTATTGTAGGGAATTCACCTTTCAGTGGCACTTCCTTCTAAAAGTAAGACTCATGTTGCTAGAATTCAGTGAGCACTGTTAAGAAAAGGTAATTTCATGAGTCACTAATTTTCCTTTGCCTTGGAGGTCTCGTTAGTTTATATATAAATGCACAGCAATAAGTCATTGCCTGTCTCCTGTTACTGCTGTGGACAACTGAGAGAAGGTTTGGGCCAGTGGACTTTCCATGGATGTGACATTAAGTAAAATGATTTCTGCAACAGGGTAAGTCTTCAGAAGTGGCAAAGGGATTTTGGAGAAAGTGTCATTAAAAACTGATTGAATGTTCTTGACGCCCTGTGTAGGATGGCAGAGCCATGTTATGTTGGAAAGGAACGGAAAGGGATCTATAAGGATTTAGTGCTGCAGCAGACTGGAGTCTTTGAGCTTCTGGGATGTTGAAATGGAGAATTTTTATTCCAAAAAGCATGGAACTAGTTGGAATAACGTGTAACTGTGTTCATAACAATGCAGTTTATCATATGTTTCCTTTATTTTCAGTGAGGAATAGCACTGACTGCTGCGAGGAGCTGTGTACTGACAGTTACCCTCTGACTGCACGTGACTGGGGCAGAGCCTTTGTTAGCACGTTGCAGCAGATTTCTTGCATCACACACTGAAGTGCTCCTAATGACACCCCCAAACCTTCCAGCAGGTCACTGGTGTCACTTCAAGATGAGATTACAGGTCAGTCTAATGACATGACCTCCAAGTGTCACAGGGAGGAGAAGGTGGCCTTGGTGCCTGCTCCTGTCAGCTTCACTGGTGGCATCTACTGAAACATCTGTGCTGAACTGAAAATAATGGAGATACACTGGGAGTGGGCACTTTCTAAACTCAATCTGTCACAAAGTTTCTCGGTGAAAAGCGCATTTCTTTCACTGTCAAATTTTTGTTGGTGTATCCTACGGATTTATACAACATTTACTGTCTAGAAAAATGGTTTAAATTCATGTCTTCTCAAAAGCTGTTGTTTTTGGAGATGACTTTAATTCTCAAGTCATTCCAGTCTCCCTCAGAAAAGCCTCATGTGAGGAACAGAGGAGAGGGATAACAGCTGGTGTGCCTTCTGTAACTGCAAAGTCTTACAAAGCTCTCAGTGAAAATTTTTACTCGGTCCTTGTGAATGCAGGTCATTCTCTAGAGGACTTGTTTCACCGACTGGTTGTTGCAGATGCTTGAAATAAGTGCTTTAATTCATTAATACTTTTTAAAGACACCTGGTTTTAGTCAGAGTAGCATTCTGAAATATAACAAATATTTAAGTGTTTGTATTCTGAAAGACCTGTGCTGCAGCTTTCTTAGCTTCAACATTCTAAGCTGAACTGCACTGTTCCCTGTATCATGTCTCATTCCCCATATTGAGCTAACAGGAAAAAAGGGCATTTGTGAAGAGAAGAGGGTGCAGTTATGTTGGTTTTTCCTGATTCCCTTCAAGCATGACTGAGATCACTGACATTAAAACCATTCTTTGCTCAACTAGATCTTTTTTCAGTTTTGCAATCTGGACTGCCCAGATTACTCTGATTTAAAATAAATGGACTTTTTTTTTTTAAGTATTGAAAATAATCTAAGAAGAAGCTGCTGGAGTGTTTTCCAAAAGTCAAGTCTTCTCTTACCATGCTCCTTGCTCAGCTTGCACAGCTGATAGTTAATATTTATGACATGGAATTCCAGGTTAATAATTATAAAGAAGAATTCATGGAGGACAGATGCTCACGTTCCTGCAATTCTGCAGTGTTTCTTCGTCATCATTAACAAGACAGGGCTGAACAGTGGGGTGCTCTAATGGTTGAATGGTAGATAAAGGGTTACCAGAGCAGGGTTACATTGTCAGTTAGTATCTGTAAACTCTAGTATGTGTGATATGGGAAAGGGGCAGGATTTAACACAACGGAGCTGCAGTAATCACAGAGCACAGCTTGTGAATCACGGATAACAGAGCTGGCATGATTTGGCTGCTACCGTTCTTCACCGATGTGACTATTTTCCTTTGCCCCTTTAATAGAAAAAAATGTAAGTACCAGACTCTTCACCTACCTCTTAAGAATATTATGACCCTTTCTTTTTAAATAAGCTTCTGTTTCCTGTGTTCCGAGGGGTCGCGGGGTGACAAACCCGCCTGCGAAGGAACGTGCGGGCGGTTATTGCTGGGGGGGAACCGCGCGTCAATAAAGCCCTTCCGAGAGGGCCGGGGGGGTCACTGGAGCGGGCGCGGGGGATCGGCCCGTGTCCGTCTGTCCGTGTGGGATCGGCCCGGGTCTGTCTGTCCGTGTGGGAAATCGGCCCGTGCAGTCTGTCGTGGGATCGGCCGTGTCCGTCTGTCCCGTAGTGGGATCGGCCGTGTCTGTCTGTCGTGTGGGAGTTCCCGTGTGCTGTCTGTCCGTGTGGGATCGGCCCGTGTCTGCGCGTCTTGTATGTCTGTCTGAGACTGGCCCCTGTCTCTTGTTGTGTCTGTCCGTGGTGTGACCGCCCCTGTCTGTGTGTCTGTCCGCTGGGACAGGGCCTGTCCGTGTGTGACCGGCCCCTGTCCGTGTGTTCTGTCCGTGTGTGACACGGCCCCGTCCCGTGTGTCTGTTCCGTCTGGGACAAGGCCCGTGTCCGTGTGCTGTCCGTGTGTGACCGGCCCCTGTCCGTGGTGTCTGTCCGTGTGGGATCGGGCCCCGTTCCGTTCCGGGTCACGGGCCACGGCCCGGGCCGGGGCCGCGGCCCTTTCCGCCCGTGAAGCAGCGGTGAAGGGAACGGGGCCGGGATCCGGATCGGGGCGTCACGGAAGGGGCTCCCGGGGCCGGCCCGTTCGGTGCGGGGAGTGCGGCGGGCCGGGGCCGCCCGTGTTGGGCGCGGGCCGGGACGGGCCGCGGGGCCGAGCAGGGCCACGGCTGGGCTGGGAATGCCCCCGGATCCCGTCACCGATCCCGGGGCCGAGCAAAAGGGCCGGCTGTCTGGGAATGCCCGGGATTCCCGTCACCTCCCGGGGCCGAGCAGGGCCCGGCTGTGCTGGGAATGCCCGGGATTCCTGTCACCTCCCGGGGCCGAGCAGGGCCCGGCTGTGCTGGGAATGCCTGCGGTTCCCGCAGCGGTGTTGGCGAATTGGCCTCTCCGGTTGTGTTGGCCCCGCTGTGCCGGGACAGGGTTCTCTTTATTGTTGGTTGGTTGGTTGTTTTCAGTGAGAGCGAGGACACCGCCGGTGCAGGGCCGTGGATGAGCCGGTGAAACCATGGCATACCAGCTGTACAGGAACACCACGCTGGGCAACAGCCTCCAGGAGAGCCTGGACGAGCTCATACAGGTGTGTGGGTGTGTGGGATCAGCTCAGGGGAGCCTGGACGAGCTCATACAGGTGTGTGGGATCAGCTCAGGGGAGCCTGGACGAGCTCATACAGGTGTGTGGGGTGTTTGGGATCAGCTCAGGGGAGCCTGGACGAGCTCACACAGGTGTGTGGGATGGGGATCAGCTCAATACAAACAGGGGTTAGTTATTAAAACAGTTCTGTAGTTGCTGTAAATCGGGGCATTTATGGCCAAGGCTTGGAAAACTTACGGATTGAAATCAAAAGCCTTTTGTCCTCCATTCACTTGACATGTTTTTTTCTTTATGTCCTGGATGAAGGAGAATGTCTTATGTAAATGGCATGATCTCCTGTTGTGTGGCCAGTAAATGAACAGCCAGATTAAGCTGGAACATTGTAATCAATTTACGGCACTTCTGTTTATTTCCAGTGAATATTTATTAGAAGAAATCTTTGCGTAGCACAAAAAATCATCATAGCACATCATTTCTTCTCTTAGAATTGAAATACAAAGAAGGAAATAAACACAGGAATGTAATATTTTTTAGAATTGTTCCTCTAGAGATCTGCATCATGTGAGCTTCATAACTTTGTTTTGATGTTTTTTAACTTTTACTGCAAGTTTGAGTTTGCTTTGAAACAACTCAAAACTTTTTTTTTTTTTGAAACTACTTTAGTCTCAGCAAATCACACCTCAGTTGGCCCTTCAGGTGCTACTTCAGTTTGATAAAGCTATAAATTCGGCTCTGGCACAACGAGTCAGGAACAGAGTGAATTTCAGGGTAAGATAATCACGTATAAAAGTTTCTCCTGAGATACAGTAACTCAGTATTGATGCAGAATGTCATTAAAAGCTGTGTCCTCCTAGCAAAAACTTCAGCAGGTCCATTTTGATGCTGAAATAATGACTGTTTACATGTGTATTCCCCATGCAGTTGTGAGGCTTGTTCCCTTATTCTGCCAGGGATCTTTTGAAAGAATGCAAAAAGCAGAAATATTGGTGGGTGGGTAAAAACAGGGAAGAGGGCAATATAGACATCCTCAGTAATACATCAAACATGAGTGAACCCCTTTATGTCACACAGGGCAGTTTTGTCATGATTTATCTAAACTAGTGTGTTATTTCAACAACTGCAGACTTCACATCTTGTTAAGATCACTGCTGTAAGTTATTTTTCTTATGGCCCAGTGTTTTAAGAAATCTTTTCTGATACTTATGCTTTATGCACATTAGAAAGGTTGTAAAACTTCTTGGCCTCCCTGTGCAGCTTCCCCTTGGGTAGACTGTCATGGTCTTGAAAAGTTCAGCCACTGGAGGGCATTTAAGCTGCAGTTTCCCTCAGAATTGTTGTCTGCATTCAGGTTCACTGGGGGCTTTATGGCAAATCTAGTTCTAGAAGGGACATAATTCAGTAGATACTTAATATATTTTCTGTTGCTTTTGGGGTGTGTCCTACAGAAAATATCTCTTGTCTTTTTAAGGGGTCTCTGAATACATACAGGTTCTGTGACAACGTGTGGACATTTGTACTGAATGACGTTGAATTTAGGGAGGTCACTGAACTTGTGAAAGTGGATAAAGTGAAAATTGTAGCATGTGATGGAAAAAGTAAGTATAGAATATGATATAAATAAGCTGGGACACAAGACTTGATCATTTATAGAAAGCTTTGGCCAAATGTCTGATTGATTGTAGAGCTCTGCAGTCCCTTTTACATGGGATGAGAGAGGAAACAAAAGCAAGTTAAATGCTTCCCAGAGGTAGGACTGTGTTGGAGCCTGCTGTGCACCTCTTGTTGGGAAGCACATACTAGAGCAACTGGAAAGTCAGTAGTGGTACTTTTTGTGTGGTGGTTTCCCTACTGTTAACCTCTTTGTTAGGATAGCACCGTGCTTTATTAAATCCAAAGAGTGCTTCAACAGTCTGAGCAAGGAGTTGTCTGAGAAAACTGTCAAGCAATCCTTTGCTGAATTTGATAGTAGGAGACACAAGCACATGAGAAGCTTATGCCAGCATTTGCAAATCATGTTTTTAAGACTTATATATTGTCTGACAGGTCCACTGTACATACACTGCTTGCAAAAGTTTACATTCTGGATGTAAAAAAAAAAGTAATATCTGGATTACTTTTGTCAGTGTTCCTTGAAATTCTTTACTGGAAAAAGTAATGTAGTGACTTTTGTGGGAAGCTGGTTTATAACTTTTAAAACCATTAATGTGAGAGAATATTGCTAAAAATGTGGGAAATGGTGCCACTTGTTTTGTCCTTGGAGAGTGATGCTAAAAGGAAGAACTGAGAATGGGAAAAGCTTTATTTAAATACCCCACAGACCTCTGAAACAAGTTCTTCATAGCTTCCTGATTCTCGCATGATTACAATAATCACTTCAAGTTGTAGTTCTAAAGAGCTGACAGAATTTATTGTTTTCTCAACTTCTGGTCTAAGCCAAGCATAAAATCCTACCTTTTATTTTTTTTTTTTGTGTACTTATAGCTAGTGGAAGAAACCTTACTTTCCAAGTATTAATCCTGCTCACTCTTGATAAAGTGTGCAGATAAGATTTAAAGAACTGGCTGACTTAAGGTTGCTATTAACATTACAGGGGTTTTTTTCCCACAAGAGGTTGTCCTGCTGAAGGAACACAGTAAACACTGCCTTGTCATTCTCCATTTTGGAGTGACATACCTTTTCCATAGCTCTAAAAACAGTATATTATCAGAAGTTGCACTGGTGTTAATTGCTGGTTCTGACAAAAGCTCAGAACAGAGAGTTGCTCTCAGTTGGTTTATGAAGATCATGCTCATTCTTGCACCTATTTCAAAGTGCAGACTAAGCTCTAGCCCACACTCCATCAGAGCTTGTGCTGCTGGGTGTGCAAAAGCCTTTCTCTTTAGTAGATCATGAGCAGATGTGCCTGTGGCTGACTGCAGTGAAGTGTTTGTGTATCACTACAAGTTAGAGCAAAGCTTTTAGTATTTTAATGTGTTCATAGCAAATGGTGTGTGTCCACAGCCCTGGAGTTGTGTGCTGGGCTGACTGAGGGGAAGCAGCACAAGCAGTTCATGCAGGACAGTGAGGGCAGTGGGGGAAGTTGGGGAGGTGCAGAACAGGTTCTAAAATGCCTGGGGAATGCTTTTGAACTTGGGGAAGGTATTAGACATGCTTTTGGTTCTCTTCATACTCAGTGGGGGTATGTATTAGTCTCATTCTCATTTTTCTTTCCTAGACACTGGTTCCAATACTGCAGAATGAACAGAACTGTGGGTCGTCTGCAATGTTTTCTGTTAATATGCAGCACTTTCTGGAGAGAAGCATGGAAAGAGACTGTTCATCCTGAATTCTTGTGGTGCAGATGTGAGTTAATCCATACTAGAGAGCGTCACAGAATGACAGCAGAAGAAATACCTGTAGCATTTCTTCGGTTCACTTTATAGGGCATGAATACAACATTACTTTTTTTTTAAATTACAACAGATACTGTTGCCTTTTTTGTTCAAAATAATTTCTGTAATAAACTTTTATTTAAAAACTTTTGAAAGAGTCATCATTGGAAAACGTTGTTTAAAAACAATCACTAATATAATATAGTTTCCCCAGATTTTCTAAGTTCTGATGTTAACTTGGTAGCACACAATCTCTTTGGCTCTGACGTTGTTTCTTGGATGGTGTTTGTCCAGGTCCCGGATCTGTTCCTTATGTGGAGGTTGTTTCAGTTCACTGAAGGAGGGGGGAGCAAAGGGAAGTTAATGGAATCTGCTGTCAGTGTTCTTTCTGCTTTTTGTTGCTTTGCTCTCCATAACTTTCTTGCCACTTGCTATTTTTTTGTTTGAATTTCAGCTAATCCTGCCGAGTTCATATGATTAATGTCCTTTGTGGTCCGGAAGATTTGTTGAACTTACACCTGAAAGTGTGAACTGCACTTTGTTGTTCTAAGCTATTGTAATACTCAGCAGAGCACAAATCATCTCACTGGCTACAGTACCAGCATATTTGCTGCTGCCTATTTGGTTCTTCTTTGCCTGTGTGTTATGGACTGATTTGTTTATTCATTTATTTTGTTGATTTTCTTCAAGAAAGTTGCTTCCACTTCTCAGCAGCAGCAAGAAAGTAAAAGATAAACCTTTACACCTTGATGTTGAACTGGAATGGATGTTTCTATTTAGAAAGTAAATTAACTAAAGGAAAGTGAAGAAAAGGGAAGGATAAGGAGGGGCCGTGGGTGACCTCCTGTTTAAACATGGTTTCCAAGAAAAAGGATTTTGTCCATTTCATAGGTGTGCAAACCAGGATGTTCCCTGGTAAAAGCTGTTTGCTCAGCAGGGCTGTTAATACCTGCCTTCAGGTATTATCACAGACACACAGTAAAGGGAGAGCGGGAAGAATTTATGATGAATTTCCAGAAGACGAGTTTAATCAGGATCATTATGTACTTTTGCACAATGACTTGGCACAGTGAGGCAGACTGAAGTTACAACCTGGAGCACAGATACTGTGTCTAAGGGTCTCAGCAGCTTAGGAGGGAGGATTTCAGTTAAAGTACTACTGACTTGGTTTTGCTTTTCTGAAGTCTGAAGCTTCAGGGTGGGGAGAAAAGTAGAAGTGGAAAACAGTTCACTGAGAGTCTTGTTAGTGTTTTATGGTCACTCTAATGGCAAGAAAAAAGACACCCTAACACTGCTTCCTGAATCAGTTTTGCTCATGACTGCAAACACTTTACTGGTATTTTGTTCATATTATTTGTGTTTGCTTCTCATTTCTTCTGAATTTATTACCTATTTTCCTCTGAATTCATTTTAACTGACCCACCTTTTTATTATAGGACATCCCAGAGATAATCATGTAGAATATGAAAGAAATCCAAAGCAAGAAGGAAATAGAGCCTCCTAACTAGAGTTAAAAAGAGCTGTTTGTGGACCTGTGTGCTGGTTTAAAGGTAAACCAGCAGGGGAAATGAACTCAACTCAATAGAGAGATTATAAATCAGAATAACAATTTAATAAGATAATACAATAGGTACAATTATACAGACAAACAATTGGTTTTAACCCACAAACCCCAAATATATAACCCAGTACCTTGGGGCATGAACAGAGTGGTGTTCTTTGGGCCCCCTGAGTCCAAAGTAAAGGGAGAGGGGAAAACCTGTTGGTGAGAGTGGTGTTGCAGTCTGGTCAAAAGTGGTGATGGCAGTCCACTTGAGGGTGGTGAGCTGCAGTCTTCCTCTGGATCCCACGAGTGGTAAAAAGATTCCAAAACTCCAAGTTTATATATTCTTCAGTTCAGGCAGGAATGCTCAGTCCTTCCCTCAGAGCAGGGAATTCCATAAAAGGGTGTGAGGACAGGAACATCTTCCTATCTCGCAGGCCTCTACTGCTAACAATTTCTGGGAAATGGCATGGAAGGCCATAGAATAGACAGTTTTGGGTTACACCCATACCATGATGAACTGGTCTCAGCTGTCCTAACTAGGACAACCTGCTATGTCAATATGTATTAAGCCAGATGGAGCTCACATAGAGTTGTTCTTGTAAAAATAAAGTGAAAACCACTTGGAAATAAAACATAAATTAAAGCCAGGTTTAAACCAGAAAAATAAGTCTGGTATTAGATTTCAGAATTACAGTTTCATCCTCCTCCCATGCATATCTTGAAAGGTAAATTTGAAACATATTTCCTCACTGGAGGTTTATTTAAAGTACAGGTTGTTGGTTAACAGTTGTAGACAGAAGCATTAAATTTTCACTAGACAAAGCTAATATTTCTGATAGGACTGTATTTCCAATTTGGACAGCCCATTATTTCACTGATGAAGTTCATATGGGGTTTAAGCTATTTTTGGAGGTGACCCTGTGTTCTGATGTGCTAGTGCTACCTTGGGCTAGAGCTGGTCCTACCCTATTGCAAGTTTATTCTTTTTCCAGTTCTGCAACCAACCATGGCAAGTTACGTGATTTCTCTGTGCTCTGTTGCAAACTTTCTGAGATGCCAGATATCTTATTCCTAAGATACTTTGAGATCTCTGGAATGCAAAGTTCTCTATTAGAGATGAGTGGTATTTTTTATTGCCATTTGTAATGTTAAGCAGACAAATATTTTTTCTGTATCACTGATTCGACATGTGACTGCACTCATGAATCTGACATTTCTAATGTCTTTGGAAGAGGAAATGCTGAGAACATTCCTTTGTAAGAATCTTTTTGTCTTAGTTCACCTTTAGAATTTGGGAGTTGGCTTGTTCTTTCAGAAGAAATCAGGTCCCTACTAAAAGGAGGCGAGTTGAAAATAAATTTGCACAAGATGGCCTTTGTTTTTGCAGCCAAATCATCTGAGATGAATTGTGAGTAATAACACCCTCAAAACCAGGAAATTTTCTTTGGATCAAGGAAATTGGATGTGACCATAGAACAGATTTGAAGTGGCACTTCCCCCCCCTCAGATCTAAATACTTGTCTCTCTCTCTCCGTCTGTAACATTTTTGTGTCAGGGAAGTGTCTGTCAATAGTAGATGAAACACTGTTATTATAACAGTGTATACAAGCAGTGTTTCTGAGCTGAAGAAGTTAAACATATGTACAAAGTGAAGGGGATAAAAATGACTTAACAAATCTGTAAGTAACTTTGAAAGTATATATCTTACATACATTTTCAAAATAATAGAGAGGTCCCTCATTCAATAATCTTTCACTTTTTCAGGCTGGGATTCCTTCCACTCCCCAAACACCTTTGTAGAAGGTTCTTTGAGAAATAAATTGTTTAGATCTTCTTACAGACATCCATTTCATGGATGGGTCTGGTTTTGATGCAATTCCTTAGAACTCTAAGTATGGGGATTTTTTTTTGTCTCCATGAACGTGCACCTCTTTTTTCCATTTTCCAAGGGAAAAAGGCAACACTTTGCTATAGTTAGAAACACAGGGTCCCTGCTCTGCCTGATTTAGTCCAGAAACTTGAACATATCCCAGTTCCTCAAGGAACCCACTGGCAGTATCTTACCATTTTGAGCTAATATGTGTTAATTTAAAGTAAGTGAAAGAGCTCCAACAAGCAAAATCAGATTAGGCAGCAGGGATTAGATGCAGTCTGCTATGCTGAGAGACTTGAGTTCTTACCCTGACTAGGCAAAGAAGTTCTGTTTGTTCTAAAAGAATGTACTAGACATGGAGAGATGTAATGTTGAACTTGCTGCTGAAACCATTTTTGAATTTTCTGTGTCACTGTCAGGTCAGGATAAAGCTGTAATCTCTGTAGCAAATGTCTGCTTACATAAATTGGAAAGAGTTCCCCCCTGGGACCAGCAATCCTATTACTGTATTTGCTCTTTCTGAATAAACAAATGCCCAATGATACCTCGGGTGTTTATATTTGAGAACTTTCCTTATGAGTACTTGGAGTTCTTGCCAATAATGTTTGCTGTGAAATCATAATGGCATTTTAAAAATCACTACTTTACAACCAAGTTCACTCTAAAATGTCTAACAAAATTGCAATGACACACCTTTTCAAGTTTAGTTATTTTGTCTTCTCCTCCTATTTAAATCAATGTTTTGAAGATCTGTGTGATTGAAGTCCTAACTTCATCTAAATGTAGCCTGGTGCTATGGAATTGCTTCAGATATTCTTTGTATAATGATAATTCTCCACCGTAGACCTTAAATTTATAAAGGTGAGTATGTTTACTGAAAGAAAAATTACCAGTTTTTTGGTAGTATAAAGACAATGGAATTAATCCCTCAGCATATTCCCTTAGGTAGTGAGAAGCTGTTGGATTCATGGAAAGTGGCAAGCTTTAGTAAAAGAAGGTGAGAAAAATACACGTGGGTGAAATACAGAAGTTCACAAATCTTTCGGCTTCTAGAAACTTAAGAAAACTCTGTTGGATGATTGGTTTGGTCATGTAAATGGCCACATCTACTACTGGATATGATAATTACATTGCCAAAATCCACAAAAATACCGGGGGAGGGAGGGGAAAAGAGAGATGAAGCTATTGGAACAATGTAGGTTTGCACACTTTGAGCACATGAGCATCCCTCTCCCACGGAGAAGTGGGGTGCTGAAGGGTTAACTGGTTTAATGGCTCTGCCCGGGAGCACGACCGTTCTCGGGGAACCACAGGACACAGAATACCGAAACGCCATCTGTTTCAGTATCTATTTGATTTTATTGAAGGCTGGTGTTTTTAATGGCTATTGACAGAGTCAAGGTTTAAAGTGGGGCACGAGCAGCAGCTCGGGTGCCAGGGGCGGGCGGGAGCTGCAGGTGCTTCGTGGAAAAGCAAATTAATCCCCCTTTCAGCTCCGCTCCTGGCAGGATGTGCAGGCGCCTGGCCCGTGCCCCGGCCCTGCCGGGTACGAGCAGCAGCCCCGGGGTCACTTCTGCGAACAGAGCCCGGCAAGGGAAGGAAAAACGCCCCGCGCCCTCCTGCAGCCGGCCTGTGCGAGGAGGGGCTGCGGGAGCGCGGGGCGGGGCAGAGCTCAGCTCGCCCGCCTTCCCTCCGCCGAGCCCCGGCGAGGTGCCCTCGGGGCCCGCCGAGGTGCGCGCCCGGCAGGGCTCGGGGGAGCAGGGGGATCCCCTCTCGCTGTCCCCGAGGTCCGTGCCCAGCAGGGATTGGGGGGATCAGAGGGATCCCCTCCCGGTGTCCCCGCGGCGCCCTCGGCGGGGCTCGCCCAGGAGGTGGCCATGTTCTGGCCCGGGAGCAGGCGGCGGGCTGGCCCGGTGAGGGCGGCAGGGGCTGGCCCGGGAGGCGCTAGGTGCTGGCGGGGGTCCCGCGGTCCCCTCAGAGCACCCGCGGCCGCATAGAGCGGCCCTGTGGCGCAGGTGCCTCCTCGAGGCACAGGATTGCCGGCATCGTCCACCTCGGGGTCGAACTTGTTGGCCAAGAGATGGTGCTGCTGCAGCATCCAGGGCACGTCGCCCGCCCCGTAGATGCAGACGGAGCGCTGGTGGCGGCCGGTGCAGGGCGGGTACGGCGCGCCCTTGCTGGGGTCGCCCTCCAGGTACTCCCACTTGACCAGGCGGGGAAGGGCGTTCATGTCCGACAGCTGGAACTTGTCGTTGTGGGGCACGGCCCCCGGCACGCCCGGCATGCGGGTCAGGGTGGCCCACACGTGCTCGTCAGGGCTGTAGGTGTCCTTGGACCACTCGAGGAACTTCTGTGCCGTGGGGTTCTCGAAGAGGTGCCGCACGAAGCCCCGTGTCACCACGATGTACGCGTTGCCCGTGAACATGGGGCAGTTGAGGGGCGGCGGCAGCTTCTCTATGTCGGTCCGGGAGATGGCCTTCCCCACCTCGTGGTGGAACTGCCAGCGCGCCCGCTTGGCCGCCGAGGGCTTCTCCGACTCCAGGCTGTTCCGGCCCTGCAGCACCTTCAGGGCGCGCACGATCTCGGCGTTGGTCTTGATGGGGAAGTCGGTGCCGCAGGTGTTGAGCAGGTACCGCCAGGGCACGGGGCTCCGCAGCAGGTCCCGCATGCAGTTGAGGTCGGCCTGCAGCCGGGACCAGGAGGCGTAGACCACGTTTTCCAGGCGGCTGGCCACGAAGACGTTGGGGAAGCAGCCTGCGATGGCCCGCACGGCCTCCTGGAAGGCGGCCGGGGACTTGCTGTCACGTGCACGGCAGTACGACGTTTTCTGGGGGGGCGTAGAGGGACGGCGCAGGAGCCGCTCGACCCATCTCGATTTTGTTGTGGATGACCAATGGAGTAGGCGATGGGGAACTCCGCCTCCTCCTGGCTCAGCGGGAACTCGATGAAGCGCCGGGTCTGCCTGAAGGCGCTGCAGTCCCTCGTCATGTTCAGGTAGTGGCCGGGCGTCAGCGGAGCCCTCCTGTTCGCCACCTCCAGGTTGCGGAGCTGCGCCTCCTCGATGGCCCTGCGGTCTCCGCGGACGATGCCCGAGCAGTTGATGCCGCGGCCGGGGGGCAGCTCCAGGGCGCGGTACAGGCGCCTGCGGTCTACGGGGCCCGTCGGCGGGGCAGGGCCGGGCGGCCTCTCGCAGGGCCAGGGCTGCGGCCAGCAGGGCCAGCGGGGGCAGGAGCAGCGCCCAGCGAGCGGGGGCGCCCGGCACCTGCCCGCTCCACAGCCGCATGGCCCCTGGGACCCTCGGGGGCTCCGCCCGACCCGCACGGGCAGCCGGGACGGCGGCTCCCTGGGAGCTGCTGCAGCAGTGACAGGGAGATCTCGGCCTGACCGCAGGTGAGTAACAGGTGAATAAAAGGGAGTCTCCTCCCCCTCTGTGGCGTGGCTCTGGTTTTACCGGCACTGGAGGTGGTTATCTATCTTCTGTGTCTGTTTAAAAGATAATATTTCATCTTACCCCTGTCCAGCACGTAACACAAGGAAAATTCCTCTAGAATTCAACCCCGTGTAACGCACGTTTTCAAAAGACTTTCCAAGATCAGTTTGGAGTCTAACCTGCTTTTCCAGTGTTGAGATCATTCCATCATTCCAGCTCCCAGGTCGAGGGAGCGATCATGATAGTGCTGTGGTCTAGAAGCCCAGCTGCAACAAGCTTTCTGCTGGCCTGCAGCATTTTGAGCTTTAGTGAAGGATTATTGCAAGAGATAACTGGGCAAAGTGGAATCTCTGCAGTGGAAGCAGAGGGTGAAGACAAAGGCCATTTGCCACAAAGTGTCTGCTCAAATGAGGGAGAATATTGGTGAAGGGTGTCAGGAGCTCGTGCATGTACCTACATGCACATCCTTGCTAAGGAAGTCTCACATAAAGAGAGGGACAACTGCATATGCCTAAAATACTCCTTGCACTGTCGTGAACAAAATAATGTCCCCTCAGCCCCCTCCCTTTGCGATTTGAACCAAACATGTATCTGGTACCATGCTTGTAAAAAAGGACCAGTTTCAACAGTTTCAATGATGAATAAAAATTTCTAAGATGAGTTTTTAAAGATACAAACAAAGGCATTTTTATTTTTCTTTCTTCAGGTATATCAAGAAGCCAAACTCAGAGAACCTGCAGCTGGACTGAGGACAGTTTTTGTCAGTGTAGTTCTGCAAGGGTTCTAGAAAACAGCAGCAGTTACTTCCCCAACTTCAAAACTATTTGTTAAATTAGTAGCTTTAACCAACTCAGTAAATGATTGTTTTAGACATCTGTCTAAAGTCCAGAGACTTCATTGGGCATTATGAAAAGCAATTATATGATACCTACAGTGTTTCCTATGTGCACAATGTCAGGGTGCCTGTCCTGAGTGCCAAAGGGAATGTGGTTGGGAGAAATATGGGGAAAAGGGCTTGGGGAAGGTAAACAAGCTGCTGGAGGGGCTAGCTGCTTTCTCAGGGCAAGGAAGGGATTCACCTCATTTAAACGTGTACTTTGCACCTGAAATTTGTCTCTAAGCTATGGTCAGCAGAGGCTAGAGAGCTCATTCACCTGAAGAAGAGTCAACAATTGCTAAGTCTGACCTGAGACTTGAAAAATGTGTTTTCAGTGTTCTCAGCTATACTTTTGAAGCCAACAGTGTATTCTGTTTCTGAACAGGGCCAAAAGCTAAATAAAAAAATAACCCCACACCCCAAGTCAGTGTATGAAATGACAGCAAATTGCTGCTCTGTTTCATTTTAGTGTGGCCAGTGGCTGAAATCACAGGCATGGCCAGGTAGAGAGGAGGTCGTAGGAGGAATACACTGCTTGAAAATGTTGTCATACACGTTGGTGAATATCAGCCACGTAAAAATTATTATAATTATTTTGAATTAATCTGTCAACATTATGTAAATTTAGTCAGATTCACCGATGTGAAACTTCTTGGGAAGAAGTTTGTCTCTTAGCATTAACATCTTGAACTTTTTCAGTGCAAGAAGATTGAAACTTTTGGAAGTTTTTACAGTTAGCAGCATGGCCATAGGACCCCACATCATCTACTCTGTGGTGCACAGCTCTTCATGTATAAGCTCTTACCTCAAGTTCAAAAAAACACAGCAACCCAAGCAGTCTGAAGGGCTTATGCTTCTACTGACTGAAATATCTTCCCTGCCTACTTTTAGGGTGAAATTTTAAAACTATCTCCTCTGGAAAGTATGAAATGTAAATAACCAGCTAAACACCTTTCTGAAAATCTGAAAAAATGGTATTAAATAAAGCATAATTAATAGCATGCTTTCTACAAAACTGCCTTTTTCCCCCCTATAAACAGAAATGTTAACCTACACAAAATAAAGTCATATTGATAAAGTCCAAGACTTGACAACTTTTTTTTCATTCTAAGTAGGGATTAAAACCTATTAAAATTTATATTTTTACATGTAATTATAACTTCCAACATACTTCACTTTAAACTCTGGGCTCAAATCTTTGGCTTATCCTTTAATGATGATACATGTCTCAATGAATATAACAGTGATTCTGCTTAAAAATTAGTGTAAAACAACTGTCCTATGGTGAGGATATTATATAGTCCAAGCACTGTCTCCACGGTAATCAGCAGCCATGTGATCCTTACATCAAGAGATAAATAGCCTGGAGATGTGACAGTGAATCACAACGTAAGAGGAGGATGGTTTAATCATATTTAGATAGTAATCTTGCAGAACTATCTGTGAGAAGTTCCATAATTTTTCTTGTGTGCTTTTTGCAGAAATGTACAAGAGGCTGCAGAAGGTTGTTTTATGTTTGAAACGGTGACGAAATGGCACAGAGAGGAGTTGGAAGTGTTTGGCAGACGTGATGGCCATGGCTTAAAGATCACTGTGCTGTCAAAAGGCATGCTGGTGTTGGAATTCATTTCCAGAATTCCCCTGTCCATCTCAAAGTGTGAAGAGTTTTCATCGGTGTGAAGATTTTCAATTAAAATAATTTTGGTAAGTCTAGGTGCCACATGTTCCCAGTGCCCTTCTGTACCTGCTTCCAATTCAACAAGACATATCAAGTCAGAGGTTCCTGCTCTTTTAGCTTTCCTGTTAAGGGATAAAAAGAATCTTCACGAGTTGACCTGTTACCTGCTTGCACAATTGTAGGTTGTGGCTCAGATAGGTGCATTGGAGAAGAAACAATGCTTGCTTCTCCAAGGGGAAAAAACAAACTATGGGATTGTTTGCTGATGGTGTCAGACCTGGTGAAGCAGCTGGTAGAAATTTCGACTGCCATGGCAGGGTCATAATCTCACCAGGTTCACCTGTACCCAGTGAGCTTGTAAAGCAACAGGGTTTTCTCAGGGAAAGCAACTTTGGTAAAGAGGGACAAACAAAACTCATGGGGAGGAATCAACCTGAAGTTGTGATTGCTAAAATCTGTAAGGAAAGGTTTATATATATATATTTATATGTTTATATTTATATATATACCACCAGCTGCTTTAGCATGACTTTTAAGAAATATATGGAAGTAGTAAGTTTTTAAACTTAGTCAAATAGACATCTGAGACCAGGCTTGCACATGCTACAAAAACATCTAGTGTGTTATACTCCATTGGTTGGGAGGGATAAGAATTTTAGTTTTAGCTTCTTGGTCACAAATGCTTTAGTAGTTAAGTGGTTTGGGGGCTGATCTTTTTTGTCTGTTTTTGTTGTTTTTAAAGTTCAAATCTGTGCAGTCTGTTACAGGCCAGCCTGTGTGGCTTTTGAAGGACCCCACCTGTAAGCTGTAATACCACTTTTCAGCTATCAGGGCATTGCTGTCTGTATAATTCTGGTACTTTTCTATTTCATGTCCTCTCAGTTTTCAGCAGAGAGCCTTATTTCCTGCAGATTCATTCAGAGCCATCCTGTGCCTTGCAGTGTGTTGGTGAGTGCTCTGCAGGCATTACCAGCTCACAGCTGAGTTTTGTGTTCTCCAGGACTTCTGTGTAACAGGAGCAATTTTGTATTAACAGCGTGTGACTCTTATTTGGCCTCTGTGTCTGATTGATAGCTGTTTGGTTTTCATGTGTCACCAGATAGTGAAGCCTTACATGGAAGGGAGTATGGCCATGAGGCACAGTTCCAATCAGAAATCAGGGCACTTTCCTTCATGAGCTGTTCCACTGTGGGTCCTGTCAACAGGCTGCATTCCTTCAGGATAAACCTGCTCCACTGTGGCTCCTGCAGCTGCCTTCTAGGCACACCAGCTATTCCTCCTCATTCTCCCCTCCTCACTGGCCTTGGTGTCTGCAAGATTGGCTCAGCTTTTTGTGTCTGACATGGGGCAGCTTCTGCTCTCTTTTCACAGAGGCCCCTCTGCCTCCTTACAAAATCACTGCCACGTTAACCCCGTGTATGAGCCTTTGCAAATGGAACCTCTTAGACTAATGGCAGGGAGAGTGTGTGCAGAGGTGAGTGATAAGGGTGTGACTTAAATAAGGAAAAGGTTGGATATGATTTCTTTTCTTGCTTTATCTTTCCCTCACCCCCTCTCCCACCCTCAGCTGCCTACATATCTGCACAGAGGGGCTGATGGCTCCTGTCTTCTCAGTGTCCGCTGCTGTGTTTTACAGCTGTAAGATCAGAGAATCACAGAACAGACTAGGCTGGAAGGAACCTCACAAAATCATCTGGTCCAGCCATTCGTGGGAAAGGGAGCCCAGGTAAGATTATAAACACCTTGTCCAGTGGCATCCTGAAAACCTCCAGGAACGGGGACAGCCACATCCCACATTTGAAGTTAAGTTGTGTAGTGTTTCTAGATACTACATGGAATGATTTGCAGACAGAATTTGAGATAATTTTAGCATAGCCAGTTCAAACCTGCATACATAACTGACTTATTTTGCCAAGGAAAGTAAAAGGAAAGCACATGGATCTTTGCTTCATTGTTTGAAGCACTGCTGCTGAAAGTGAGGGATCTGGATTGTCCCTGGAGTACCACCTTGTCACTAAATGATTTATGGTTTGGTAACGTGTCAGAGACATGTTGCTGAATATCCAGGTTTGCAGATAGCAGGTAACCTATACCCAGGATGAGTCAACTTGCTGGCTCTCTCCAGAGTTATATGGATTAGTTATGTGAGGAGTACCTACTGGCATGAGGCCTGGAAAATTATTTTGCAGGCCTGCACCTAAAGATACTGAGGGCTGGCTCTGATCTTCCTGTAATTTTTGGTTATGTAGTGAAGTATCATGAAACAAAATTAGTGATACTCTCACTGACTTCTGCTTG